TAGGCCTAAGGCTTTAGCAAGTCTTTCTCCTAAATTCTATACAATGGATTCTGTCTGAGCTAGAAAGTGGCTTCTATAACAAATATGATAGCTTTATTTTGGTATTTTTTTGTCTTTCTCCACCAGAAATGTGACCTTCAAAGAATAACCAGTACTTCAGCAACAGAAGCATTACCTTGTCACAAGGACATTTTGTTTTGTTTTTTGGAATATTTTGAAGGCTGACTTGTATTCTACCCGTGTTTTCTTCAAATCGATGACTTGCTTGAAAATTTCTGAGAATCAGTGAAGTAATCAACTTTGCAAAAGTCTGCTTTCCCAGCTGGCTGGGGTGACTGCTTTCTGATGACTGTTTGACAGGTTTTGTACCGAGACTGGCTAAGTTTTGGTCCTATTTTGGAAACATAGTAATTATAAGAAGGAAACAAGTACTTGATAATGACAATCTCATGTTTTCATTCTACTATTTTATTTCTGTTTGATTATCTCATGATTTACAGAAGTTTGTTCATCTTACTGTGAGTTAACATAGAGTAACATACATGACTGTCTTAAAAATGCTGAGCCAGTGTCTGTTTTATACTCATGATGATTTCTTATGTTTAAGCTTTTAACAAGTATTTTGTGTTTACAAGTGATTCTTCATGGTATTTAAAAGTATTAAGTATCTATTGTGTGAATGCATTTTGTGGCATGATGGCTTATGCTACCAACATCCTTAGGCTTTTACTGTTCCAAGTGTAGCCTAACTCCACTCTATTTTTCTTACCACGTAACTCTTGTTACTTCTTGCTTTTGACTCGGTCCCCATGTGTTGCCTGATCTAGTCAAGAGGGGATGTCCCGGGCAGCAGGGAGGTTGGATTAAATGATCTCTAAGGTCCCTTCCAGCTTAGGCGATTCTGTGATGACTCTTTGCTTTATAAAAATTTTGATCTGGAGCTCATAGCAGTGATTATCAGCCACACCACATTTTAAGAAGCAACCAGATTGATAGTTACAGTCTGTTCCTACTTTTAAGAAAGACAGAGCCTGAAAGATATATGAAACCACCTACCTACAGAGTTGTTTTCCTTAGCAAGAGATACCAGCGTCACTCAGGGAAGATGTGCTTACTCACTTATGCAGTGGGATGAGGAGGAGAAATTTAATAAAAGGCTCATGGGTCAAGACAAGGAGAGGGAGCGATTGCTTACTGGTTATGGTCATAGGTAAAGCAGACTTGACCTGAGAAAAAAAATCAATTTGTTGCCAATCAAATCAGAGTAGGATAATGAGAAGTAAAACAAAATCTTAAAAACACCTTCCTCCCACCTCTCCCTTCTTCCTGTGCTCAGCTCTATTCCTGATTTTCTCTGCCTCATCTCTGCCAGCAATGCAGGGACTTGGGGAATGGGACTTGTGGTCAGTTCATCACACATTATCTCTGCTGCTCCCTCCTCCTCAGGGCAGGCCAATCCAGTGTGGCATCCGTCTCACAGGAGACAGTCCTCCACAAACTTCTCCAACATAAGTCCTTCCTACGGGGATGCAGTTCTTCACAAACTGCTCCAGTGTGAGTCCCTTCCATGGGATGCAGTCCTTGAGGAACAGACTGCTCCAGTGTGAGTCTCCTCTGGAGTCACAAGTCCTGCCAGCAAACCTGTTCCGGGCTTCCCATGGAGTCACAGCTTTCTTGAGGCATCCACCTGGACCACTGTGGAGTCCTCCATGGTCTGCAGGTGGACATCTGCTCCACTATTAACATCCATGGACTGCAAGGGGGACAGCCTGCGTCACCATGGTCTTCACCATGGGCTGCAGGGGAACCTCTGCTGTGGTGCCTGGAGCACCTCCTCCCCGTCCTTCTTCACTGACCTTGGTGTCCACAGTGTTTCTCTTGAGTCCCTCTCCTCTCTCTGCTGCAGGTTTGCCAACAGTTTCTCTTTCCTCTGCTGAAGCACATTATCACAGAGGTGCTACCACAGTCACTGATGGGCTTGGCCTTGGCCAGCCGTGGTTCTGACTGGAGGTGGGGGGTCTTCTAGAAGCTTCTCACAGGTCACACCCCTGTAGCCTTCCTCTGCTGCCAAAACCCTGCCACACAAACCCAATACATATTAATAGTTACTGTTGCAAGCTATATAGATATATTTTAATTTTTATATACAGTATTTTTTCAGTTTTGTTATTTGTACCTATAAATGTTACTAGTTGAAAACAACTTAAAACACCCATTTAGAAGTACCTGAAAATACTTGTACCACAGCAGGCTTCTGAGCCACTGGAAGGAATTGTTTATTTAAAGTGGGTACATTTCATACTTTTTCCTTTCTAGGTCTTTCATTTGCCAGTTACAAGCATTGGGAAGGTTGTCATCTCTAAATCATACTTATGTGTTAATACTGTTTGTAATTAAGACAATAGTTTCCAGTGATGTTAATGGACATTGATCATTCAGGATGAAGCAGTTTGTTAAGATGGAGAAAAGAACTCCTATTCTTGATGTCTTCAGTGGTGACTTCTAAATACCTTGTTTTGTATATAAACCTACTTAAGCTGGAATCTGAACTTAAAAAAAACCAAACAAGTGTTCCATTTGATTGACAATACTGCAAAAATGTACATTTTGACCGTAGAATTCAAATCATAATACTTCAGTTAATAGTAATTCTTGCATGAATATCAATTATGAAGAATTAGCAGATGGTTAAACAGAGGTGGTATAATGAAGCTGGTATCATTTCAGTGACCAAAGCCTGTGCAATTTTCTAGAACTTAAACATTGCTAATACTCAGACTATAGTAAAATTGCCAATTTACCTTCTTTTACTATTATTTTATATGCATATTTGTAAGCAACTAAATTTAAAAAAAAAAATATTTATACAACTTCACTTTAAAATCAAGTATTTCATTTCATGAAGTACAACACAAGCATAAATTTGTGGAAGATTTAAATGTGGGGACTACCATATACTTCACGTATGAAAAAAGCCCTAATATGAGTCAGAACATTAGTATGACTGGACTCTGCTCCAAGAAGCTTCTGTGCTGTCCTCACCTTCTGGAAGATCAGAAGATCATGGAGGCTCTGCTGGGGTGAGTTGAAAGCAGAGTGGGGCAGACATTAAATCACAGGAAAAGTCTGAACATGCAAGTTGTCCTTCTGTAGTTATCTGCAGTTGGGAATGGGGAAAAAAAATAAAGGGGAAGTAGTAATTGTTGGGGCTGTTTCTCTACGAAACAGAGTAAGCGTATTGTTGGAAGCAGAGGAATATGGAGAGAACAAAAGGACAGTTTTTATCAATTTATTAAAACATAAATTGCCCAGTTAACCTTATCCTAATGTCTTTTCAAGAAATTCTTAGAATTAAATTATTTTTCGTCTTAAAGTGCCTAAACTTCAGATAATTAACCTGAAGTCAAATAAGCAATTATAGGGTTCAGTTGGAAAACCCAATTGGTTCTTTTTCCACCCTAAATCTGAGAAACACTGAGATTCCTATGTGATGCTAATTAAAAAAGGTTGAGATTAGCATTTCAGTCTTTCAATTTAAAGTATTTTATACAGAAGTTGGTACATGCGTGGCAAGCCTGACCTATTCAAATATTATTATTCCTAAACGAAGCTCTATGACCACAAACCTTTGGAGTTTTTTTTTTGAACTGTTCTTTGGGATGGAATTTTATGTTTCCTCTTTTTCTCTGCTATACAATGTGTGAAAACAGTTGTGCGCAGTTTTGGTACCCTAGCCCTTTAGCTTTATGTACAGAGGCATTCTGGTTTCATTTCATTCTCTGACCTTTCTCGGGCAATTTAGAGATTATAATGGCTGCAGCAGTATTAATCCCCAGACCTAAAGTCTTACCGTTCATCCTCCAGTGTAATTATCTTGTCAGCCAAATGCAGGGAGAGAGAAAGCCTTGATGCTGTGCGAGCACTGCTGAGCAGCAGCTGAAATGCTGGTGTGTTATCAGCACGGTTTTAGCCACAAAGGCAAAAATAAAAATCCATCAGTCTTCTGGCCGGCTGTGATGTTGTCTCTGCCACCACGTCTGCTGGCAGAGGGGTGGCACAATTCATTCCAGCAGATCCCCTACACAGTGGCCACCCATGCCCACATATGGGCTGCTTGTGCCCTGTGGAGCAGACACAGCTTGCCCAAGAGAACTAACTCCCCAAACACAATGTCCTCTGTAAGGCTCATGGTAGGATACAGATGTCCTTGGCAAGCCTAGCAAAGGGCTTCTGAAGATAATTAAGGGGTTGGAGTGTTCCTTGTGTGAGGAAAGGCTGAGGAAGCTGGAGGTGTTCAGCCTTAAGAAGAGAAGACTCATAGGGGACATCTCCATGCCCGATGGGCAGGAGGAGTCAGTGTCTTCTCAGTGGGATCCAGGGAAGGTATGAAAGATAATGGGCACAAATTGAAATACAGGAAATTCCATTAAAACTCAAGAAAAATGCCACCTTTTTTTTTTTTTTTTCCCCCTATGAGAGTGATCAGAGGGTGGAACAGGCTGCCAGGACAGGTTGTGGAGCCCCCATCCATGGAAATATTCTAAGCCCAATGGAACACAGTCCTGGACTGCCTGCTGTAGATGACCCTGCTTGGAGCAGGGGGTAGGTCTGGATGGTCTCTAGAGGAACTGACCAGAGGGACAATAATGTGACCCTGGCAAATTTTCCTAACAAGACTGTCATCAGGTAAGTGCCTATCCAGCTGTAGTGAAATTGTCCCTTTTTATCTCAATTGTGATCTTTCACTTTTTTTTTTTTTTTAATTATGAGTATTAAAATAATTGTATTGCCATTGTTTTGTCTCAGTACTAGATTTCTCTATGCTAGAGCTCAGGTAGATGAGGAGTTTTGAAGTTTATCTCATGACAGTTGCCTGTCCCAGCTGTGTGCACTGCCAGCTCAGCATCATCCAAGCGGAGTTGCTCTACCAGGTTTGTCAGTGGCGTGACCTTTACTATTCAAAGGTGATGGTGCAGGAATTGGACTGTTTGCCTGAAGTAACTAGAATGGCAAATGGAAGAATGTGACGAAAATGAGAATGTCAGTGCCTTCTTCTCAGTTTTAATACTGCTGAGCAGCAACAGCCGAATTTTCCTGAATGTGAACACAGAAATGAGTTGCAGTGTGACTAGTCAGCCGTTAAGTCCA